TCATAACCCAGGCATGTACTCTGACTAGGAATCAAACTAGCCACCCTTTGGTTCACAGCCTGTGCTCAAGCCACTGAACTACACCAGCCAGGGCTAGAATCTGTATTTCTTTTTTTTTTAATTAATTTTATTTAGTTATTTTTCAAGTACAGTTTTTTGTCTATTTTTCCCATCCCAGCCTCCCCCGCCCCTTGCTCCCTACCTCCCTCCCATTTCCACCCCCCATAGTTCTCGTCCCTGTGTCCTTCCTATTTGTTCCTCCAAATCCCTCCCCCTTTTTCCCGTTAACTTCCTTTCCTTCTCCCCTCTGGTCACTATCCCCTTGTTCTCTATTTCAGTGTCTTTTTTTTTTCTGCTTGCTTGTTTGTTTTGCTGTTTAGCTTCCTGTTAAAGGTGAGATCATATGGTATTTGTCTTTCAGCACCTGGCCTATTTCACTCAGCATAATGCTTTCCAGTTCCATCCATGTTGTTGCAAAAGGTAGTAGCTCCTTCTTTCTCTCTGCAGCATAGAATTCCATTGTGTATATGTACTACAATTTTTGGATCCATTCATTTACTGATGGGCACCTAGGTTGCTCAAGCTCTCAAGTAATGCCCATGCCGCTGACTCAAGGAACACACTTTGGGTCATAGCAACAATCTCCTAAATGTGCTTCCTTGTTCACCCTCTGCTTCTGCAGGAGAAACACTATCATATTCTCATGACCTCTGGATCACATAGTGTCTGCACCACTGGCCCTTACCTTGTGACAGTGCTGGAATCCCCCTGGGGACCTCGTGGAAAAACACTGCTTCTTGGGTTCCAACCATGCAGACTCTGATTCAGGAGGTCTGGGATAGGGCTTTTGGACATTTTCAAGAAGCACTGCAGGTGATCTTGATGATTTCTTAAAAGTGTCTTATAAGCTGAAACCTTAGTGTAAGGTTTTTCCCAGAAGATCTAATTTCATTTATTTCTATTTATTACTCCCCTTCGAACCTTTGTTCCAGGCAGACTGTCTCTCAAACAGACCGAGAATCCTCTTCTCTTTATTCTGCTCCACCTACAAATTCTACCCATTCTGTAATAATTTATCATGGCTGTGTATGCTCATTGGCACCTTACCCAAAACACCAACTACTGGAAGCCTCAATGTCATGCATACAGCTGGTGGGATGAGATGTTATCTCTACTCTCTTTGGTCCTGTTGAATCCACCTACCTTCCAGAATTCTACCAAATCACTGTACCTTCGTATTTGAGTCCCACAGAAAACCCACCTTTCTGGAAGAATGAAAAAATGTAACTTGCTTGACTGAAAATAGAATGAGAAGTGACACTCCTGCCCTGACACATAAGAAAGGATGCCGAGTCACATTCCGATTCTATTCAGAAACTGGAGTCCCTGGGGACAGGGACTTTGTATTATATTTGTCCTACATCATTTCTGTAAGTCAAAGGCAGCTCATAGTCACCATTCAATAAGAAGCTAGCAACTGTCTAAATATTTGGTGATCTACTGGAAGGTGATGCATAATGGTAGGGAAGGAAAGAATCACAGCCACTTACTTGTAGATAATTAGATGTTGAACCTCAGTATATCTTCACTCGTGAAAAATCATTAGAACAAGTCTGTAGGGCTGTGGAACACGTAAGACTACCAGCGCCGAGAAATCAGTATCTGTGAGTATCAGCCTAACTTATATGGGAAGAAAACCTAATGGCCCAGTTGGATTTAAGAAGTGAGGCTGACTTAATATAGAGGAGTAACTAAAGAAATATCAAAAACATCATCCAGGAGTCCCTGTTTGTGAACCGATATTATGCCCTCTGGACCAAACTTAACGGAAAAACAAGATCCATCACCATTTCACCCACATCTGCCTCTAGCTGCATCTCACATTGCTCTTTTCCCACCCTGTCTCTTCCCATCTAGATGGCCTTTCAGGACTTGTAGCTGTCCCCTGCTCAATGCCATGCTCTTTCTTTTATGCCTGTGCCTTAAGAACATTCTGTTCTCTCCATTCAAAAGGTTCTGACAAACAACTTTTAAGATCAAATGTCATCTTCTCTGGATAAAAGATGACTGCTTCATTCTAAAGAGAAGAAGGGGTCTAAATTGCGACTTTTTAAAAAAGCCAGAGTTTATTTCTATTTGAATAATATTCAAGGAACTTTCAGGTTAAGAGGCCCAGAGATGTCAGTTTAATATAATATTATAGCCAGGGGCTGGCTGTTGCTGCCTCTGCTTCAAAAAAAATTCTCAGGACGACCCTGGGCCATTTGATGCCTCCCTAATTTTTTTCAGTCTGAGGGTGGTGAACTCTTCTGAGTTTTAACATCATTCATACAAGGCTATCCCTCCAATAATGGCAATAAAAAGAATGCCACAAGCAATCATTATCATTGATAAGAAGAAAGGTACATGACCAGAGAAGAAAGCCATCAGAGCAATTTTAAAAAGCAAAATTAGGCCCTGGCTGGTGTAGCTCAGTGGATTGAGCACGGGCCTGCGAACCAGACAATCACGGTTCGATTCCCAGTCAGGGCACATGCCTGGGTTGCAGGCCAGTTCCCAGCAGGGGACACACGAGAGGCAGCCATACATTGATGTTTCTCTCCTTCTCTTCCCCTCTAAAGATAAATAAATAAAATATTTTTTAAAAAAAAGCAAAATTATTAACCCAGTATAGAAGAAAGAGAAGCATCTGCAGAACCTACGTGAAAACCTTTCTTCTATTGTTTTTTAAAACCAAGTCCTCTGACTATGAATTGATAGTTGGGATCATGATGGGTCTTATAACATGTATGTTCATGTTATTTTTTCAAGGTCTTCCACTGTGGTGGATATTTGACAAATGTCTTCATAGTAAATGGAGAAGTTGCTGATTTACATGTATAAGTAGGAACTTCTGCCTGTTGATCCAAGGTTAATTGCTCTTCTGATTTTACTGGGCTTTTCTACAGTAAAATTACAATAAAGAAATAAAATAAAAAAAGAGCCCTAATTGGTGCAGCTCAGTTGGTTGAGCATTGACCTACAAAGTGAAGGGTCGCTGGTTTGATTCCCAGTTGGGGTACACACCTGAGTTGAGGGTTCAGTCCCGTTCGCATATGTGAGAGGCAACTGATTCTTGTTTCCCTCTCACATCAATATTTCTCTCCCTCTCTCTAAAAGTAAATAATAACTAAAATCTTTTAAAGAAAGTCTCAATCACAACAATAATAGTAGTTACAGTAACAGCAGCTAATATTAATTGAGCACTTACTATGTAGCAAGTATTGTGAAGTATTAAAGTAGATAATTTTGTTTAAATTCTCAACTTATTTTAACTTTACAGACAAGGAGCTTGAAGCTTAAGACACCCAGTAACTTACCAAGGTAATAAATGAGGGAGCCAGAATTTAAGCACAGAGTTCATATACTGCGTAAATATATACTTAGGGACTCATGCACATAGACAGCAATGTGGTGATTGCTGGGGGACAGGGAGGATAAGGGGACTAAATGGTAATGGAAATAATACAAGAATACAATAAAGGTTACATCAAAAATGAAAAAGAAAAGATATACTTGAGGCAACTAATGACCACCACTAGGCTCATGGTTATTGACTCATTACTGGTTATGCTGATCTCCACTGCAAAGCTCTCACCCTCCCGGCATGCAGCATCAAACTCTGCTGCTGGCTGAGAGGAGCGCAAACCCGCTGGATTTATGGAAGGAGCACGGTGACCATCTCAGGATTGTAACCGAAAATTTCCATGACAACACAGTTGGAGGCTTTCTTGCTGAGTCCTGGCATGGTGATAAGTGCGAGCTTCTTTATTCCTATGGATCCTGAAAAACACAAACGTTCAGTGGCAATACATGGTACTAACTGGTTTTCTCTGATGTTCCTGCGATCGAGCTGTCTCCACGTGTAAGTCTGGTGGGTCCACCTTTGTAATGTACTTATAACTTGTTGGCTTAAGGTGTTAGACTCAATACGATACTACCTCCTCAGTAAAGCCTTTCCTGGCACCCTGTCTACTCTAAGTTCTTTCTTTCTATGTCCTAATTCCTCAGTATTCTATCTGTAACTCCTTTACAGTTCATTTTCCTACTCAGGGCTAAGAGGAAATGTGCTATAAAACATGGCAAGCATTCAGTAAAAATTGCAAATAACCGCATCAAAATGACAATTCATGTCATTTTTAATCCCAATGAAAAAAGACCCATTTTTCTGGAAAAGATCTTTGAGAGTTAAGAATACAGCTGGCTCCTGATGTCATTTCTCCTGGTGGAGGGAATGAGAACGGCCTGGGAAACAGCATGTATGGATTCTGCCTCTGGTTTTCACAGACGTCAGTTGCTGACGGTTTAAGGCATGGGTCTCATGCCCATTTTTCCTCAGTAGTATCCCCATTCAAAGAAAGAGGCTCAGTGGGACAAGCTCACATTTGGACACCTGTGTATCTGTGTACATTTAATTCAGAGGCCGACCTCATTTTATAGCAACCTTGCCTAACATGTCATTTTAATGCATTGGAAAAGATGAGGAGGATGTGAGTTCCATGTGGATTCGTGAGCAGAGCATCAAAAATATTTCCAGAGGCTTTGCATAATAGTGCTAGCAACATTTATGAAATACCTATCAAAGGCACTGCATCTTAAATGAGAAGCCAAATGCATTCGTTAAAAAGCCCTGTGAGCACAGGAACCCCAGTCTGCTGGTGGAGAGACCGGGCAGTGATTGAAGTGTCCAGCAGGGGGCTGGCATTCTCTGTCTATAAGTAGCCCTGGGTCCTCTTCAGAACCTCAGTTCAGCACAGCTGCTGTTTGCCAGTGAAGCCAGTGACGTGCAAAGCATCCTGCCTATAGGATTTGAGGCTTTCTCAGTGCAGTTTTTTTCTACCCACTTTAAACCTTCAGGTTCTAAGTATCAGGAAAGACAGGAAATGCAGCGTGAATATAGCACACTCAAAGTTCTTAGTTAACTGCAGCGGAGACTCAGACTGGAATGGGGATAGGAAGAGTTGATACAGAGTGGGTTTAACTCTAAACCCTTGTTCACTGAAGTTAGAAATGTATTGCATTGGTCATTTTAAGACCAGATTGGCACCAGCATCAAAATAGTGACAGGCAGTTTGGAATGCCATAGTCTATTATGTACTCGGAGTATTTCTATTAAAGAAGACAAGAACCTGGCAGAGATTTTTGTCCTCATCTTCACCAACTGCAAAATCAAAAGTTAAGAAACAGCGTCTCAGGACACTTTTTAGGTGGCATAGGAAGAATCTAGAGGATGGCTCTAAATGATTGCTTCATTCAGACCGTGCCCTGCAACATCTCCAACCACAGTATGGATCTTCCCGTGAACGAGGACTGGTTCCACCGGGGCATCCTCTATGTCATCCCTGCAATTTACGGGGTCATCATTCTGATAGGCCTCACTGGCAACATCACACTGATCAAGATCTTCTGTACCGTGAAGTCCATGAGAAATGTACCAAACCTGTTCATCTCCAGCCTGGCTTTAGGAGACCTGCTCCTCTTGGTGACCTGTGCTCCGGTGGATGCCAGCAGGTACCTGGCTGACCGATGGCTATTTGGGAGGATTGGCTGCAAACTGATCCCCTTTATACAGCTTACCTCAGTGGGGGTGTCAGTCTTCACACTCACCGCTCTCTCAGCAGACAGGTAAGTACTGGAGGATAGTTACATTCTTTCAGGGTGGTGGATGCCTCAGTAAATGAGCTACAACGTTGGGACAGACGGAGCTGTTTGCATAAACGGAAGTTTCACTCAAACTCAGATTCTCTTCCAAGGCATGTTTTTGTTTTGAGGATTGCTTCTTGAGTTGGACATATTGGTTTCACAGAGAAAAGTGAATGGATGGCAGGGTAAAAAAGCGGGGGCAAGTGAGAAAAAAATCTCAGTGTAAGGTGGAGGTGCATTTTCTGGAGACAAATCGATTTAGTGTGGATTTTTCCCAACTTCTTGCTCCCTGTGAACTTAGTTGACCAGGGAGGGGGAAAAATCACAACTAATAGAGTTTCAACCCCAGGCAAATGTTACTAAGAAGAATTCAAAATCTTCGGAGAACAAGAAAGCCTCACTGCATTTCTAATTCAAAATGTTCCTTCAGAAATGAGCAACGGGAGAAGTAAGTGCCGATTCCTTGAAATTCATTTTCCTCAGTTAACTTTAATCACAGCTGATTTTTTAAACTTTATTTTTATTGTTGATGGCAGGTTGTCTGTAACCAAACAGTTCGTGTGCTCGTTTTCCTAAGAATCTCTTATGTGAAATCAAACATTAGTGGATGTTTTTTTCTTGAGAAAGCTCCATTCAGCATAGATTTTGAATTTTAATATCTTTGATAAGATACTTCCATATACAGAGACCCTGGAGTTTTTTTTTCGGGGGTGGCAGTTGAGGGGAGTTGGTACAATGTTTTATTCTAGTAAATATACATATTGTGAACTGCATTTCTTGCGTGAACACATTGCTTAAAAATTTATATTTATTCATTCTTAAAAATTCCTATTCATTTTCTGAATACCTGGTTGAATTAACCAGTGAAGAAATAACTGCGCTATTCCCACAAGTGGCTGAACGTAGTTTATGGACTTCTGAGCTCTAGAAACTGGACGTAGTAATGAATAGACACCAGACACATTACAGAGCAGATGGTCAAATTACGAAAAATTGGCACAGTGTACCAAAGGCTATATATTTTTATTTTAGAATCAACTGTATGTTCTGGTGTTAAAGATACATAAGCATTTGAAAGTGTACCAGGAAAGGCACCGAAGCAGTTCTTGAAAATTTATGCTCCAGAGAAAATGTCCCACATTGTAACACATGTGCTGCTAGATTCTCATTTTGTAGAGGAACGAACAGTCCCCAGGTGATCTGGCTTTGTTGAGTAATGAACAAATAAGACAGTGTTATCAGTATTTGTAGACATGTGTTTATACTTAGCTGCCTGAAGTACACTGCTCAGTACACGGCATTTTTTAAAAGTTGAAAAGGAACAGCCCAGAAATGGGGTTTGCACATCATACCGGCTGGGCGGGGTCTCTCCATTCCTGCTCCTCACCCCCAGCCTTCTGTGACCCTGAACGTTGGCCTAGGAGCAGTTCCGAGTGTCGATTCAGGGCAGGCAAACTTCGAAGGTGGCGGGAGGTCTGGGGCTCATTACCAGTGGCCGAGGGCACTTGAGGATCAGGAGAATTTTCTTCATGAGAAGATGACATTGTTGTTTCCGGGGCTGTGAGAGCAGTAGTACAGATGGTGTTTACTCTCTTGTCGGTGGGGGCGGGGAGTGGGAGCAGAGAGGAAAGTGAGGATGTGGGGTGTAAAGATGCAGCTGCACCGAACCCCTCTGCGGAGTGTTTCAGAGCACACCAAATCCACCGTCAGCAAAAAGGCACTTTCAAAAGCCGAGTTTGTCAGCTCTAGCGTGTTCTCAGTGAGTTGATAGTCCCTGCGTGTCCTTCCCAGTGCAGAAATCACTATGAGCTTCCATAAAACGAACTTTTTGTGTTTTCCTAAGGCTTAAAAAGGCTGATGGAGGCCCTGGCTGGTGTAGCTCAGTGGATTGAGCACGGGCCTGCGAACCAGACAATCGCGGTTCGATTCCCAGTCAGGGCACATACCTGGGTTGCAGGCCAGTTCCCAGCAAGGGACGCACGAAAGACAACCATACATTGATGTTTCTCTCCCTCTCTCCTTTCAAAGATAAATAAATAAAATATTAAAAAAAAAAGGCTGATGGATCGCCTGGACCACAGGTAGTGCATCTAACCAACTTCAACAAGAATAGGGATTGAGCTACTTAAATAATGTAAGACTGTACTTATCCATTTATCTCATTTTTAAGACATTGGAGCGTTATAACAACCTCATGAGGTTGGCAGGGCAGATATGTAAATCCACATATATACAATATCTACTTTTTCTCAATAAGCCAATAGGACGTCATCTATATACAGTAACCTAGTGTACAGTCCAATATATGTTTACACACGTCTGTATGACAATATAACTACCACCCAGATGGAGGTATGGAACAGTTCCAGCGTACTAGAAGTTTCTCTTATGCTCCTTTCCAGGTGATACCCACCCCCACAAAGAGGCAATCACTATTCTGAGTTCAATTATCCGGATTATTTTCTCCAGATTATGCTTGTTGTGCTTATCATTATGTTTGCTATATGCACGTATCTTGGTGCATATAGCAATGGTTTGTTCTTTTGAATCGTCAGGTAGTATTCCATTATATGACTATACCTCTATTCATTTATCCATTCTAATGCTGATGGACATTGGGTTGTTTCCAGTTTGGGATTGATATAACCTTCTCTGGATATTCTTATTTATATCTTTTAAAGTTCGAGTTTATTCCAAAGTGGTAGTCTGCGCTGGATAGAATTGATAGAGTCACCCAGAAAGTCACCCAGACCTTCCAAACTGCATGATCATTGCAGTCATTGAGGAGCTTTAAAAATTTAGATTCCTAGCCCCGTCCTAAATCTACTCAATCAGGGCTTCTGAGGTGTTAACAGGCACAACACTCATCACCCACCCTGCTCCCTGTAGGTTGGCCAGCAATGCCAGCAACTCATCCCAACCTCCTTTCCGCAGCGCTCCCCTTCCCCAGGTAAACGTCAGTCTTTTTTAATATGAAAAGAATGAATTTTTCTAGAAAAGTTCACACTGCTGCCACTGTGTCCAAGGGGAGACTTCAAGACAGTCCCAGAAACCAGAATTCTGGCTTTCACACGGCCAACTGATCACAGATTTGCAATCAAACTCCTCCAAGAGAGGTCCCTGCCCTCCCACTCCTTTGCATACACGCTGATGTCCTCAAACAGTAGCTACATTGAGTTCTTGGCCCTGCATCCTTGCGTATAGTGTATCACACTCACTCTCCAGAAAGCCTTGCCCTTTCCTGAATAGAATGTTCCACTTCCCATCCCATGTGATATATGGCTTGCAAAGGGCCCGGCACTTCAAGCTATTTTCTGTCATTACGACCTGTAAGAGGGAGTCAGACCAAGTTATGTAACTCTGCGACCTTAGTTGAATTATCTGTAAAATAATAGAGTTGAGCTAGATGATTTCAAAGATCCTTCCAAGTTTTAAAAAAATGATTATTTATTTATTCTTTAGAGAGAGGACAGGAGGGAGAAAGAGAGGGAGAAAAACATCAATGTGTGGTTGCCTCTTATACGACGCCACCTACCGGGGACCTGGTTTGCAACCCGGGGATGTATCTGGAATGGGAATTGAATCAGTGACCATTTGGTTTGCAGTCCAGTGCTCAATCCATTGAGCAACACCAGCCAGGGTGATTCTTCTAAATTTTATAATTTATGGCTTTAAAAAAATCTGTCATTTTGCCTATCATTTGGAGTCTGGCTCAAGTCTCTTCCTTAAAGCCCTAAGTTAGCCCATTCTAGCCCAAATTTCCTAACCCTCTTCTAAACATGAGACTTAGGATCTGAGACACAAATTATCTTATGACATCTTTCACCTTGCTGTTTTGAAATATTTGACTCATTGGTCTTTTTTTAGCCTCTTATATATTCATTGCTTTAACTCTTCAAGTATATCTGTCATTAAGAATGTTGAGGACAGAGATTTCTTATATATTCTTGTATCTTCCACAGTGCCTCACATGGTTCTTCGTAACAAATGAGCGGTCAATAAATATTTCTTAATTAATTAAAATTATGGTTAATTTACACATACTTTTTCTTCTCATTATTATTAATTTTCCCTATTTTTTCGAACTCACCTGAAAGCATACTCTTAAAAATGTTTCATTTGGTTTATGTGTTTCTCTATATTAAGCTCTCATTATTTAGGTACATGAGAGAAAAGCTACTTTTAGTCAACGAATAGATTTGGGGGATAAATAAATGGGTGGAGATGGAAAGATGGATGGATGGATGGATGGATGGATGGATTTTTTGCATGATGGTCTTTCCTACTAGATGCCCATCTCTGTACTAGGTGCCTCAGTATTGTATAAATGGAATTTAAGACCTGAACTGAACACTTAACAGGAAAAGGGTGAGTAGAGTTTGTGTTTTCTTTTCTAGGAAGTGTAAAGTATAAAGCTGGATTTAATACCTGCTTTAGTATCATCATCCAGTGTTACTGCTGCTGGAATGGGGCTCAAAGAGTGAATCTGAAAGACAGGAAGATGAAGCAGTTCTCATGTGACGGGGTCCTTGTTCGATCTCATGAAAGACTGTTCAGACTTTCCCCCTCCCTTGTGATGTGAAATGTGTAAAGAAACAGGAAAGTGTTCCATTCATACGGTCTTCTTGAAGTGCAGATTCTTTGAATGTACCACCAGGAATTTAGGAGATAATATAGTTATCAGCTTTCCTGACACCTAGAGCTGCATGGTCCAACATGCCAGCCACTAACCTCACATACTTATTTAACTGTAATAAAAGTAAACATTCAGTTCCCCGGTCACACAAACCACATGTCAAGTGCTTAGTAGCAATATTTGACTCTACTTGACAGTGCAGGTACAGAACATTCCCATCGTTGCTGAAAGTTCTATTGGACAGAAGAGAGTTTGCTCTGTGCCTTTGGATCCAAATCTCTTTCTCGAGATCCCCATTACCTGCTCTCACTCCTTGAGGGTATCAGGAATTCCTCAGATTAACAAA